ATCACCCATGTGAATGAAGCTGTATGCCCCTAATCACCAATGTGAATGAAGCTGTATGCCCCTAATCACCCATGTGAATAAAGCTGTATGCCCCTAATCATCATCATCCATGTGAATGAAAGTGTATGCCCCTCACCATCACCCATGTGAATGTAACTGTATGCCCCTAATCACCCATGTGAATGAAGTTGTATGCCCCTCATCATCATCCATATGAATGAAGCTGTATGCCCCTCATCATCATCCATATGAATGAAGCTGTATGCCCCTAATCACCCATGTGAATGAAGCTGTATGCCCCTAATCATCCATGTGAATGAAGCCGTATGCCCCTAATCACCCATGTGAATGAAGCTGTATGCCCCTAATCATCCATGTGAATGAAGCCGTATGCCCCTAATCATCCATGTGAATGAAGCCGTATGCCCCTAATCACCCATGTGAATGAAGCTGTATGCCCCTAATCACCCATGTGAATGAAGCTGTATGCCCCTAATCATCCATGTGAATGAAGCCGTATGCCCCTAATCACCATGTGAATGAAGCTGTATGCCCCTAATCACCCATGTGAATGTGGCTGTTATCCCCTAATTACCTGCCAACGTAAACAGGTGCATGAAGCTGCTCAGAGCTGTAAATATTATAAAGTATGATGACCACTCCAAGAAATAAACAGTATTCTATTTTTGTCAGGTGGAAATGTTGCCAAATAAGATCCGTTCACGTGAATAGGCTGCTCTGAAACCATGAACAATGCATGCAGTGGGTTGGTATTTTAGGAGTTAAAGTAGGCGATGAGCATATTGCCTTCTCACCACCTGTCAAATGCCCTCTGAAAAGTGATCCACCACGGATTGCGTTTCAGGTAGGGTGGCAGAATAGCCACAGGTGTGAATAAGCCCTTAGAATGGCATGGATGTATGAGGGCAGAGGTCTAAGGAGAACATTTTGCTTTAAAACTGGCAGCTAGAAGGCCCTTTAAATGTAATGAAATTCTCCCACCAGAGCAGGAGGGGCGCAGTGCTTCTTCACCTCTGAGTCACATACATTATAGGGTGCTTTACAATGAAACAATTATCCTGCTTTAATTGCCAATAATGACAGCCACTGGCACAGCTCCAATACATTCCATTCACTGCCTTTTCTGACTGGGAGTAAGGCACCAGGAGACCGAGTATAATATACAAGCAAATGTGTCTGAGCGATATGTATGCACGCCCACTGGGGAGAACGTGAATTAATACCACGGTGTAATATAACCAAGCACACATGCATGGCCAAAAAACCCGGAGCATCAATCTGCCATACTCTACTGCATGCTCGCTATTTATACTAAAGGAGGAGGGCATGTTCCCTCTGCAAAGTGAATGTTCACTTAGCTACGTACAGTCAATAAGCAGAAGCTGGGTTCAATTCCAATACCTAACAATGTACAAAGGAAATGAAAAAATACAGGATTTTGATTGCACATGATTGGATAATTGATTAAGTAACATCCTATACAGTTTATTTACAGCACAGAGTATTTAATAAGCTGATTGAACATTTACTTTGCTAAGTAAACAGCCTCTTTTACTCCTTTAGTAAATCAACCCCCTTGACTGATCAAGCATCACTAGTTATAACATGAAACAAGCATTCATGTGCGACATGTTTGGCATCAGCTGCAGATATTTTCAGGGTTTGTTCACATCCGAGTGCTTTAACAGCACTCAGGATGATTACTACACACTGTATGAGAACTAGAGCATTTATTCGAAGGCTCAGGCGAGATCTTGGCTGTTACATGTGTGTTGCATTCCCAAATGGCTGCATGGAACAGTTGGGGGGGGGGGGGCGCTTTACAAAGAATACAATGATCCTCTAAGGATACCTTATTATCGCACCTTGAAAACCACAGGTCTCTTTGACGCCTGGCTTTCGGTGCTAGGATGTGAACAGCATTGAAGAAAGCCAGAAAAGGACTCTGCAACAAAACAGAACACACTATAAATATCTTTTTTTATTAGGACACTGTGCTCCCAGGGATTCAAGCTGAACTCAAGCTTAAAAACATATAATAGCATAGTAATAGTTAAAAAACAAAACAAAAAAAGACAAAGCTTTTGCCTGCAATACTGACTTTCAGTTAGGAGCCGATCCCAGCAATATATCGTTTCCATCACTAGATGTCCTCAGTTTTATGGGTTGAATTGTTCAGCTAACTGCCTCTGAGTTCAGACTGTCATGGACCTGCTTCCTAGGGTGGCATCACAACGCAGCCTTAGCATTTAGGGCTTATTCACATGGGCAACAACAGTTAAAACCAGGCAGTTGAGCCATTGTTTTACCCCCCCCCCCCCCCGAATACCCACTTGAACAAGGGCATGCAGCCAATCAGGGCTGTGCACATGCTGCAGCTAAAATGTAGTGACATGTCTCATTCAAGAGGAAGTATTGCAGCTGAATGTAACCTACTTAAGCAAATGAGACCACTCTGAAATGCACACGGTTGGAGAGCAGTGGCTCTGCATTTTTAGTGTTCAAATAGTAGACAGTATGTAGCCACCACAGATCGCTTTTCAGTGGGGCAGCAATGGCTGCCGTACGTACGAACGAGATGGCTATACACAATTTATTTTTCATTCAGCTGAATGGATGAATCTCCCGATGCAGCTGACTGTCACAATACCCAAACAGTGCCTTGCTTTGGAGACAACCGCTGTTTGGCTGACAATTTTTCGCCTAACTCCTTCAATATTTTAGTTGAATAATGTCAGGTGGGAGGGTGTCAACAGGGTGACCCACTGAGTGAATTTTGGCTGATATACCAGGAACCAAACAAAATCCCACAGCTATAGTTTTACTGCACTGAACAACTCTCACACCTCATTTCATTCTGAGCAGCAGTAAGGACCAAATAAATATATATAAACTTGCACCACAGAAAAATATATAAACTATAAGACATTTAAATGCTGCTGTTCTAAAAAACATCCAATAAAATTATAAACACTCCACAGCGCAAATAAATTATATGTGAAAATTAAAAATACTATAAATAAAAGTCCAAAAAAAATATCTACAGTCCACACAAAAAATATATATATAAATTGTGCTCAATCCCAAAAAGAAATGTGCTCCAAAAATTCTTCAAACAAATGTGCTCACAGCATCCGTGATTAATGCTCAATCCCCACTCACCAGATGGGGTGGACTCTTTGCTGATATGGAAACGACTCCCAGGATTAGATGACAATGGAAAACAAAACAAAAAACAACAAATAGTGCAATACTGTAAAAAAGCAAAGCAAGGTCTTGGATAACGCCCTGTAGGAGGGCGAAACGCGTTGGCGTATTTCTGGTTTCCGGTGGGGGCGTGGTGGCATCACGTCCGGTGAGTGGAACACATGCTGGTTTGCAGCGTTCCAGAGTGATTTCCTGCTATTTGGAAAGAGATTTCGGTTTATCTTTGCCAGTCCACTTCTACAAATGATACAAGCCTTATATTATGAGCCTTTGTGCCTATTATGAAAGCTGGAATACTATTTTAAACATGTGAGTGCATAGAAGGCAGACTTTTTTTTTTAATTAAAGCTTTTTTACAGTATTGCACTATTTGTTGTTTTTTGTTTTGTTTTCCATTGTCATCTAATCCAGGGAGTCGTTTCTGGAGGATATTGAGTACAGAGTTATCTGGGAGGACATACCCAGTCACTTTAGGCTTGTTTGACTCTTTTTCCATATCAGCAAAGAGTCCACCCCATCTGGTGAGTGGGGATTGAGCATTAATCACGGATGGTGTGAGCACATTTGTTTGAAGAATTTGTGGAGCAGTAAGGACTGCCCAGTGTCACAGAGTCCTTTTTTTTTTTTTGAATCTGCATTAGGTGAAACCCTTAAGTGAACAAAAAAGTGCATGTAAGGGTGTGCTTTTTGTCCACCCCCAAAGGTGTAGGACCTTACCCTGAACCCACGGGGCACAAGGCTCCTAACAGAGACAAGGTTCAACCATGGTCCACCAACCAAAATGCCTGGTGGACCCCTCTCCTCGGTCAGCTGAAGCCGAATGATGAGTACTAGGTGAGGGGCTCTCCTGAAGAGGGACCCCCCCAGGTTTAGGGGAGGAAGAAATTTAATGGCCACACATCCTCTCCATAGACTTGAGGGTAGGCCTTAGAACCCACACCCTCCATCCAGTGAAAAAACACACAAAAGTGAATTGTGCCAAACCTAGTGAGAGAAAAATATAAATTAAATAAATAAGTGCCCATGCAAGTGCATAGGCTAGGCCCTGTGGCCTGGTAGCTAAAACATTGCCTCAGACTTAGCCAGAAGGCCTAGCCCTAAGAGGTCTGGTGCAGAAAAAAAAAACAAAGTGCTGTGGCCATGTGCCCATTCATGCAAGTGGAGTTCCCACACCCATGTGCTAATAAAAGCACCCCTTGGGCTAAGAACTCCCAGGGGGCACTGGCATCGCTGATTCTTTGCCTTCCAAGCCCGTGACTAAACAAGGTAGGCCTATTCAAATCTGGAGAAACTGGGCCCCTCCAGTCTTCCTGGGGGTATTACTCTCGTATTCCACATCATATGGATGTTTTAGTTTCTGTTCCAGGCAGTACTAGCTTTCAGAGCCCACATCATACCAGCAGGGATACTGTACAGTCAGCCATTCCTACCAAAAGATCAGAATGATGGCAGAGCAGCCCGTCAGGACACTGCTAAGTAGAGATACCACACTTGATCTTAGCCAAAAGGCCAAGTACTGAGTACTACAACCCAGCCCCCAAAAGCTATCCCCTTTAGCCATTTGTGGCCACAGCAGGAATTGTATACCCGGTTGCAGTTGTGGTGTGCTAGTGTGGGATTAAAACAGGCAGTGAGCAGGCAATAGACTGCCTGTCAAACGCTCTGTGAAGACCGATCCAAATGTAGATCAGTCTTCAGAGACCAAAGCAAGTGTGAACAAGCCCTCAGAAAAATAAGATACGTATGTACACTATATTGCCAAAAGTATTGGGAAACCCCTCCAAATCATTGGATTCAGGTGTTCCAATCACCTCCACAGGTGTATAAAATCAAGCACCTAGGCATGCAGACTGCTTCTACAAACATTTGTGAAAGAATGGGTCGCCCTCAGGAGCTCAGTGAACTCAAGCGTGGTACCGTGATAGGTTGCCATCTGTGCAATAAGTCCATCTGTGAAATTTCCTTGCTACTAAATATTTCACAGTCAACTGTTAGTTGTAGCAACTAGGAACAACAGCAACTCAGGCACGAAGTGGTAGGCCACGTAAAATGACAGAGCGGGGTAAGCGCATGCTGAAGCACACAGTGTGCAGAGTCGCCAACTGTCTGCAGAGTCAATAGCTAAAAACTTTCAAACTTCATATGGCCTTCAGATTAGTACAACATCAGTGCATAAACAGCCTCATTGAATAGGTTTACATGGCCAAGAAGCTGCATCCAAGCCTTAAAAGTGCAATGCAGAGCATTGGGTGCAGTGGTGTAAAGCACACCGCCACTGGACTCTTGAGCAGTGGAGACATATTCTTTGAAGTGACAAATCATGCTTCTCTGTCTGGCAATCTGATGTATGTGTCTGGATTTGGCGGTTGTCAGGAGAACGATACCTGCCTGACTGCAGTGTGCCAAGTGTAAAGTTTGGTGGAGGGGGATTATGGTGTGGGGTTTTTTTTTCAGGGGTTGGGCTTGGCCCCTTAGTTCCAGTGAAGGGAACTCTTAAGGCGTCAGCATACCAAGACATTTTGGCCAATTTCATGCTCCCAAGTTTGTGGCAACAGTTTGGGGATGGCCTCTTCCGGTTCCAACATGACTACGCACCACTGCATAAAACAAGGTCCATAAAGACATGGATGAGTGAGTTTTGGGTGGAGGAACTTGACTGGCCTGCAAAGAGTCCTGACCTCAACCTGATAGAACACCTTTGGGATGAATTAACAGTGGAGACTGTGAGCCAGGCCTTCTTGTCCAACATCAGTACCTGACCTCACAAATGCACTTCTGGAAGAATGATCAAACATTCCCATAGACACACTCCTAAACCTTGTGGACAGCCTTCCCAGAAGAGTTGAAGCTGTTATAGCTGCAAAGGGTGGGCCAACCCAATATTGAACCCTACGGACTAAGACTGGGATGCCATTAAAGTTCATGTGCGTGTAAAGGCAGGCGTCCCAATACATTTGGCAATATAGTGTATATATTTCTTAATGCGGTTGACAGCTTAAGGAGGGCGGGGTTTCCTCTTTTTTTCATTTTACTAGACTTCAAATGAGCTGATACCAGATCTTTGCTTTTGACAAAGAACAAGGTGCAAAATACAATATCCTAGAGCCATTCCGCAATTACATTTTATTGATCTGAATTTTGTAAACTAAGGAAACCTGACTAACTGATTGAACTGGTTGCTATGGGTTACAAATGCCTGCCCATCATAACTGCTCTTTGACTGGCTCATTAAATAAATCCTTATACTTGATGATGGATAAGTATTCATCACCCCAAGAACATGACACGATCAGATAGCTAATGTTCTAAACGAACATCCTGACTCATCCCTACTGTCTACAATACTAGACATCTGCTGCGGTATTTCCAAATGGCATCACTAAACAGAGCTGCCAGCAGTAGTTTTCAAGTACAAACTGAATTTGTGTGTACTGTTTACACTGTAAATAGGTTGACGAACTCATGAGTATAGCTCTTTGTATGGAGAATATTTATCTACAAGTCTGAAGACATATGTCTTGTAATGCTGTGCCAACTATTCTAACAGGATTGTATCTGACAGAGAGTAGAAACCGCCTCATGGGTAAGCCGTCTAATATAAAACACTATGGGGCCTGTTTATAATGGGCAGTGGATACTGCTAGACACTCTCTTATGGACTCCACAGTGCGCTCTTATTATTACTACCATTTATTATTATTATCTACCATTATTACAATCCAAGCTGCAGAGTGGAGCCTGCGGTGCCTGCAGGAGTGCTCTCTGCATAATGCTGCAAAAAACAATCAGAGGACTGGCCAGTCACATAACTTTGATAGGTCACAGGTTCTTCTTTTCCCAAACACATAAAGTTTAATTCACAAAGCTAACACACCAGTATAAGGTTCATAATTACCAGAAAAGTGACAGTTATATTTAGCCCAAGAAGATTTGCAGAGGAAGTACCAAAAATTAGAGATTGTGGAGGGGACATTTAAGGCACAAAGAAGAAGGAACAACTCCCCATTACCATTACTGGCAATTATTTAACAACCTTGTAAAAAAATTACCAACATTTAGTAAACATATTTAAATAAAATATACTTCCATTTTTATAAAATATACTGTATATTATACATTAAAATAAGGCTGACAAATAGTATGAAACCTTCAAAAGGTTATGTTTGTTTAACCACTCTATGGTCCACATGGCGTCCATGCAAAAAGAAGATCTTGCAATTACAAGAGAAGTAAAGGCCTTAAAAAACAAACAAAAAAACAAACCATTATCATCTAGGTGGATGCAGCATGGATCTGATGCTGCATCTGTCACCTGTCAACTTTGCACTGAGAACTGAGCGATCAAACACCACTGATTGCTCAGTTCTCCCCTCCGCTCTGAGCAGAGAGCCTGGAATGCCAGTCTCCAGGTCTCTGCTCTGGAGCACTTAAAGGATAAGTTCACCTTTAGAACATGTTACATGTTCCACCTGTTTTTAGGGTGGAACATGTAGCGTGTTCCCATAGCCACAGCAGCGCCACTGCTGCCACCCCTCTCCCTCTGACAGATAGTACGGGGAGAACTGAGCGATCAAACACCACTGATTGCTCAGTTCTTCCCTCCGCTCTGAGCAGAGAGCCTGGACTGCCAGTCTCCAGGTCTCTGCTCTAGAGCACTTAAAGGATAAATTCACCTTTAGAACATGTTACATGTTCCACCTGTTTTTAGGGTGGAACATGTAGCGCGCTCCCATAGCCACAGCAGCGCCACTGCTGCCACCCCTCTCCCTCTGACAGATAGTACGGGGAGAAGGCTCCCCGTACTATCTGTCAAAATTTGAAAACAGCGTGGCCATGATGTATGGAGTACAGTAGGCACATCAAAGAAATGTTCTCCACTGCTTCTCCTGGGTCACCACTGTAACATCCATAGAGGACTGGTTCTCATATGGCACTAGCAAGCTGACAGCTCCTAAGACCAAATCAGATGAGCTGGTGTTGCCCATTTAAGATCCTGGGTAGGGGAGGCACTCCATAGAGCATATAAAACTTAGGGTCGTGGGAGTGGGCATGACTTGATAGCATGACTTGACGCCATGTATGCTCTCCCTCTTCCTCCTTGTGTTGCGTTCCATCTGGACAGGGCATGATGCCAGCTGGTTCGGGCACATGCGAAATAGCCACTGCATGCTGTACAGAGCAGCTCATCTGGTTTGGTCTTGCGAGTGGTCAGCTTGCTAGTGCCAAATGAGAATCAGTCCCCCATGGAAGTTACAGTGGCGACCCAAGAGAAAAGTTGGAGAACATTTCTTTGATGTGCAATATGTTGCATTTGGTGGCAGTACAGCTTTGCAGCTTGAGACGGAGCAGTTGAAGTGGTAGAAAAATGCACCTCAACACCTCCAAAAGTAAACGAAGTCTTAAAATCTAATTTGCACTTAAATATATCAATGACGGGGGTAAGTGGTTTCTGTGCTAAAGTGTATGTAAACTATACTGTATATTTCTATTATTTGCTCCCTTTTGGTCTATTAAATATACTATTGAAAATGTTTTATTATATTAATTCAATACATGCAAGCTGGTAACATCCTGTGCTTTCTGCCTCTGAGTTGTTATCAGTTAGCACTGTTCCCTGCTATCTTTGTGGACTACAAAACACATCCCCTAGTATTGAGAAGAGAGGGCGGTTCATGTAGTCCTAGCGTAGTGTTATGTAGTTTTAACACAATATCTTCCCTGGGGTGACAATGCTAATCTGTATGGTTGTCACCCTAGGATAGGAAATGTGTTAATGGTAGGATTAGCAGGTTAAGATAAAAGGAAAAAAAAAAATAATGCAGCCACCACATCTAAGGACCATTAACAGGCTGCTATGTTACCAATTTTTGGGTTTAGATAAGCTTTAATCAGTATCTTGGCAAAATATTTCATCTGCTCTTTTCTCTTGGGCACCATATGTAGATTTCAAATATGTTACCAAAATTAAAGGCATCAGTTACATTACATTACAACTTCCAAATTGGAGCTTCTTTTTTCTTAGACAAGGGGCTGCAGTTATGATCTATGAAAACCACCTGATATGTGGAATGGTTCTGGCCTGATATCTACGTGAGTCTTTGTAAAATCATTTATCTGTCCAAGTAAATTCACACCAGTCACCATTCAATGTACACGACAGTATGGCAACATGGCATCCCTGGCAAATGCAGGAACAGTTGGTGTCTCCAGAAGCATCTGCAAACTTACATGAAATGCACTGGGATGGTGGCCACTGCAAGTCCCATTTTAATAAAATAGCAAAATTCCTCAAGGCATATAGAACATTTTTTTTCGTCCCCTGGACACCTTTGCTCCTGGCAGGAAAAAAAGCAGCTTACAAAAACATCTAAAGCCGCATTTTTCACACGCGTTTAGACATTTCTGTGTGCACGGATTCCATTGGCCAGAATATTAATTGAATCTGGCCATTGCAATGAACTCTCAAGCGCTAAATGCGCCTAGGTGAATTCACACATCGTGGAGCGGTTGTAGCGCATCCTATTTCCCGAGGGAAATAGGTTGCATTCAGTAGGGTTTAATTTCTACCGTGGCCACAAAAGGAAAGCACCACATCTGTGGTTCGTGTACACTCATACCCCCTGCCTTTCAAATTTAAGGGGAAGTAGTTGGGGTGGCCAGTAAAATCGCAGCTCAGGTGTGTGTTTTACTCCCCCCCAACCGCTAGTCGTCAATGACCCCTAAAAGTCAGGTTTCAATTAGATCCTAACAGCTTAGAAAACACCTGGTGTTTGTTTACATTGGAGGGTTGGTACGCTGCCAACATTCTATGAGGACACAGCCGGCATTTAATACCTGACAGATCCTTAGCCGCTATTATCTGGCAGGAGTGGGGCTTTCATTGAGAAACCGATGCAATTAAAAATGGAGCAAGGAGCATACAGAGATTCCCTTTCGGACATCTGATCAGCTATAAATCTCCGGGAATTGTAAAACTGAGTTATCTTCTGGATTAGAGAATAAAT